TTAAGGTGAGTGAAACCTTGAACACGGCCAGATGAGGTTGATTTAGGAGATGTAACTAATTATACCTCTAAAGAATACTTCATCTTTAAATTCTCAATATGCATTTGAATTAGTGCTGTCAAAAATTAGCGCGTTAATGTGTGCAATAAATTTTTCCAGTTTAACAGCGTTAAAAATATTTAATGCAGTTAACTCAGGGGCAGGGCTAGGGTTGGCCACCCACTCACAACTGCTGCTCCCGTCTCTTTTCTTGACAAGAATTGCGTTTAGACACAGAATGTCTTTACGACATCAAACAGGAGACTTTTCAGACGCGCACTACTTCGCCTCAGCACAGACGCAACGAGTGCAGAAAAGGTACAGGTGATGAGAAGCTTCAGTAGAACATCAGTGAACTGCGGTCAGATGAGATGTTGTCAGGTCATATGTCAGTAATAACGATTTATTGAATATGCTGAATTTGTCATGATTTTGGTGGTTGTATAAATTAATCATCATGAAATAAAGCAATAAGCCCCGTGAAGCTGTGGATTACAGTGAATTTATAACAGCTGAGGGGCGTTGTTAGGCCCCTTAGCTGTTATAAATTCACTGTGAACCACGGCTTCACGGGGCTTACTGCTTTTATAAAACGGTTATTCCATATACGTAGTAATGTTTCACAGAATAAATCAGCAAATAAAGTGTAATGATATTAATAAAAACAGTATTCTTCCACCAAACAATGTAGTTCCTCAGAATCAGTTGTGGTTGCAACAAAGTGGTTGCTGATCAACACACAAGTAAACAAAGGTGTGTGTTTGTAGAGTCATTTACAACAGCTTTGAACCAATCAGAATCAAGTACCGGAACTATCCGTTTTATAATATATATTTGAATTGACTTATATTTGACAGTTCTTCCTTGTCTCTCGAAAATGAAAAGATTGATCTTTTTATGTCGTCGCCTTCAAATATGTTGTTATATTTGGTAAACCCATTTATTTCTTAGAATGAGTTCAAAATGGCAGTTTCAGTCAATCGTCTGATGGGTTAATGTCGTTTCTCAGTTTCTGCGAGGCATTTTGCTTGCTATAGTTGAACACATTTCTCCGTGAACAACTGTGCTTTCATATAAGCACCCAAATAATTCAGTTGTAGTTGGATTGGTGGCCGAATCGGGGTGAAAGGCCTGTGTGTAAACAAATAAAATGAAATGCTTGAATCAGACTATTCATCAGTCGAATTGTTAAATAGGCAGGCATATCACCCTGTAGCCCAAGACTGGTTGCCCACTGAAGCTAAGCAGGGTTGAGCCTGGTCAGAACCTGGATGGGAGACCTCCTGGGAAAACTAGGTTGCTGCTGGAAGAGGTGTTATTGAGGCCAGCAGGGGGTGCTCACCCTGTGGTCTATGTGGGTCCTAACGCCCCAGAGTAGTAACGGGACACTATACTGTCAACAAGCACCGTCCTTTGGATGAGACGTTAAACCGAGGTCCTGACTCTCTGTGGTCATTAAAAATCCCAGGATGTCTTTCGAAAAGAGTAGAGGTGTGACCTCGGCATCCTGGCCAAATTTGCCCATTGGCCTCTGATCATCATGGCCTCCTAACCATCCCCATATCTGCTGATTGGCTTCATCACTCTGTCTCCTCTCCACCAGTAAGCTGGTGTGTGGTGGTCGTTCTGACGCAATATGGCTGCCGTCGCATCATCCAGGTGGATGCTGCACACTGCTGGTGGTTGAGGAGATACCCCCTGACAATGTAAAGCGCTATATATATGTAATGAGTTATTATTATAAATACCATGCACATAGGCACAGTGCTGTGAGGTGTATGTTAGCATACATTTTTTGTAATATGAATGAGCGCCTGTTTTTTCTGTTTGTATTTGCATCTTATGAACTGGTCAGTGGAGGAGACAGCCCTTGAATATACACTAAATGTTCGCTAAAACATTTTTTTTTTAGACATATCGAGGTGAAAATGTCAATTATGCTCACTGAAGTTTTGTCTGGAATACATGTATTACTTGTGTAAGCCCATATTTGAGCTGGATTGCAAAATTTGAAAATTGGATTAAACTGATTAAAATTAGCTGATGTAAACATATCTGGTACAAAGTATTTGTTGTTATTAATGTTTCTTCTGTTTGCACAGGTGAACCCAGAGCTGAAGCAGCATTTTGAGGAGAAGGGCTTTCGTTTTGTGGGTCAGGACGTGGAGGGTGAGAGAATGGAGGTCATCGAGCTGGACGGTACGTACGTCAGAGGAAACTCACACACAAGATCAATTGAAATGCACACTATTTTGAAAGCATATTTCCACCCTTCAACAGTTATATGTGCTGATGTGAGAATAGTGTAATCGCTTATTAACATTGTTATAGTGAATATTTGAACCCCTAGTCATTTTGTGCACAAGGATACCGTAAACCAAGGCCTGTTTTAAGAGAACTGTCAAGTCATCTTTATTTCTGTAGCGTTTTATACAATACAGATTGTCAAATCAGCTTTAAGGCCTTTCCACACTGAGCGCGAAAAAGCGAAACGAATATCGGACGCGATGACGCGCTGGAATAAAACAATAGATTTCTATGGATGCTTCCACATAGACCGCGAACATTCGTGCACCGGAAATGCGAATGTTTTTTTTTTCCGAACCAGTCTGACGAATCTTTTCAGTTCAATTGTCCACTGCATCATGTGATCTGTAGAGCACCGTCCGTTTTCTTCCACGTGTGCGAGTGTTATGAGTCAGAGCGTGTTCACTCTTTTTCTAAGCATGAAATATGAAAGCAAATAGACATGATTATGACGATATATTTTCTGTATGTGTTTTGTATTCAGCTCGTGGTATTTTTATAGCAATAAAGGATGTTTATGACAAATATTAGCAGTGTAGCATTATTAAACATACAAAGAGTGCATGTGTCTGCTTATTAATCAAAATCAACTATAGATCACAATCGGAAGTTATTACAAGCACTCGATGATGGTTTAAAGTGGGTAAGCAAATACATTAATAATTTCATACGTACAAGTGTAGCTTGATGCTAATTGTACTTCTAATTATATTTTAGGATGTAGCCTATTCTTGTAAGCATTGTTTATCTTAATTTAATGCTGTATATTGAATGATGTTAAATCCATTTACGAGATGCATATCTGAGGAAAAATGCATTGTTGGTCGGCGCCACCTAGCGTGCAGGCGTGAATTAGCAGAAGGCGAACAATCGTTTGGCGTTTGGTGTGAAAGCACCGTTCGTCTGCGATTCGCCTCACTTTTTCACATCGTGCTCCGGGTGGAAATGTCTCGGTGATCAGTGTTGGGCAAGTTACTTCCAAAATGTAATACATTATATATTACTAGTTACTGTCTTTTGAAAGCAATTACCGTATTGACCTGATAACATGTCAATAATACACCCACAACAATAGGTGGCGCCAAATACGCATAAAACGAGTGTGCCATGAAATACAGAACTTAATTTTTGTTGCTTGTCTGCGCTCGTTCGCCGCCTTTTTCCTCTTCTCCGACCCCGCAGCTCTCTCCGATAGCTTACTGTTAGTGGCACCAGTCCAGTGTTTCCAGGTTTTACACGTGCTATTTCTCCATGTTGAGAGTTTGGTGTCGCACATATTGCTAAACATTCTTATCCTTTTCTCCGATAAACTGAAAATAACAGGAGTGTGTCCATCCCACAAATGTAGAATCCGTCTCTGCAGTCATCTCAACCGTCTAATTCCAGCAACAGGAGATAGACAAACTATTTTACCCGCGGAATTGTTTCTCTGGTGCTGTTTTGCGGTGTGAGTAATATGTTGTTGTAACTTGCGTTACTGAGATTGTTACGAGTAATAATATTACCCAAATTGTATTAGTAATGTGTTATATTACTGCGTTACAGCAAAACGTAATATACTTCTGTAATGTTACTTTTGTAATGCGTTACTCCCAACACTGTCAGTGCTCTAGAAGACAATAGTAAAGTCGGTTGATTGTTGATTTCTGTGGTCATTTGACAAGAAATCAAGACCATGGCTTTCTCGTCTACTCTATTAGTTTGACAATCAGTTTGTTGTTGTTGTTGCAGATCACCTGTATTTTGTTGGTGTCCAGTATCACCCAGAATTCACATCCAGACCCATAAAACCATCTCAGCCGTACTTGGGCCTGCTGCTGGGAGGCTTCCAGGTTATCTTCAGGAAGGCTGTTGGCTCTCGCCACGGTGTGGACTGATGTTCTCAGAGCAGCCAGATTCCTCACCCAGCGTCATCCAGATTCCTTATAATAAAAACTGGCTGCTCGTTCATGAACACAGACCTCTGACAAAATGTTTTATTTGCATTATGGTGACAGCCGTCAGAACCTTGTTTGAGGATTTTTGCATTATACCAAATAAGCGGTTTTCGGTTGACAGTGACCAGAGTGGCAGCAGTTCTCCAGACTCACGGGCTTCAAACTGAGCGCACTCAGGAATGAATCGGTTCGTATACAGCATGACTTCCAGATAAGTGTTCATACTTGTTCCCATTTCTTTCAGGGCCTGCGTTCTGAAAAAGGAAGTGCTACTGAAATGTAGTTTTATATTCTCCATTTTCAAGGGAACAATATTTGACATTAAGACTGGCAGCTCTTTGTATTTTACACAAACTTGTGGAAGTGACTTATAAACATGCTCTGACCAACGGTTATGGAACAACTAGCAGTCATCCATTCACTTAAGACTGTTAAATAGTTTAAGATGTGTGTTCTGAGTTACGCTGTAATCAAATATTTCGCATTTGTAATAAACTCAGTTATAGCAATGTAAATAGTCACTATACCCTATTCATGTAGTACAAATTTTGCTTTAAGCCCAGCATTGACTCAAGCAGAAACAGTATTCAAAAAATAATCACCTTTACATAACCGGTAAGAGTTTAAAGAGACATTAAAAAGCAACAATGCAAATTCTGGTAGCAAGTCTTTATTTTACAGAGTTGATCCAACAAACAAAGGACCATGAACAGGATATGAAAGACCAATCCACACTTTCATATTAGGTTGAACTTGCGTCACTCATTTTACAACTTCCACTTGCTGGTCAGGAGCTGCTGAAGACCTAAAAAAAATAAAAAATGAATAGTTACCAGAAGTCATAATAGACACGGACAACTAATTGACGAGCACTGATCTCAGTCCCATATCCGCAAGTTTCATCCAGCAGTCACCAATAAAATCTAGTCATCCTTGATCAGGAATTACTTCATTACAAGCTGACAGCAACGCACCTGCAAGTCTGCCCGTTGATTCAGCACGCTGTCGGAGAACCTGGAGCAGTCTCAGGAACCGTGAAAACCCCACTACAGATGCTGAACCTGAAGAGGCAACACCACAACATTAAAGCCAAAGAGAAACCAACGGAACACCATAAATAGTTAAATTTGGCTCAGGAGCGTTTACATGGGTCTCATAATAGAGCTGCTCTCTCAGAGAGGGCAAGTGTGTCATCACAGCCAGTATCGAAACGAAACCTTAAACCGATACCAACCTCTTAGAGAAGGCTCACTTGGGACATCTCGAGCAGTATTTTGATGATGGGACGTCTCATTTGGCATCATCCGACCTGCAGGGAAGAGAACCCGCCAACATTAGGCAGGGCTACTTCAAGCCAGGCATCCGTGAAGACACGTTTCGGTTGTCCTTTTCCTTAATGTTGCTGGGACAGCTACAGGTGAACCGTACAGCGACCGTCGGTAAAAGTGTTGCTTTCGGCTCCTGTTTGACCGGACCCGTTATAGAAGAACGGGAACGACTTCGATCAGGGCCACGACTTCAGTCTTACCATTATTAACTTCACATGCACAAATTTAATTGGTTTTAAATGGGCCAAACGTTCATTAGCTCCCATGAAAATGTGCAGTTTACTGTAACGTTACACAGTTAAAGTTGAAGCAATACCTCTGCACTAGTGAGGCGGCGGAGCCACGTGGTGACCCAGTATTCACTCCGGCAAGCACCTGGAGAGCAGGAAGAAACATGAGGAGATCAGGGAGACATCCACGGATTCACACCAGAAATAGCCTTACATCTGTAACCAGCAATGGCATATATAAAAAATAAAAATGAGGCACAACTGACTACATATTGTATCCAAGGCTAGACTTGGCATTTTGGTACATCTAGCCTATTTCCACATTATATACAAACTCAATCTAGACCCCTTGAACAACCAATGCAAAAAAAAAATTTACATGGACTAAAATAGCGTCGATTTTGGACACTACTCTGCAAACAATGTTGCACTCACAAACCCAAGAGTGCATTCAGAACCTTATAACTGTTTGCAAAAGTCATTTTTAATATTTAAAGACTGGAAGGCCGACCGCGGTTACACACTGCACCCGCTTACTTCTGACCTCCGTAAACACTCATCCTGCGCTGGACGCCCGAGAGTCACTAACGATCTAGTGCTGTAACACCCAAACAAACTTCTTATGAAACCTAGCTGTTAAAACACCGCATACGATCTTCGATGTTACAGGATTGTGTTGCACTCACCTCCATCCTCTGAGAAAGCGAGTCGGAAGAGGAAGAGGCGCGTGTGACGCGTGCTTTTATACAGCGAAACGTAACGCTGATTGGTCAACGGGCTCATCGCTGATTGGTTGAAGGAGACGGCTGGGTCGCAACGCTTGATGGGATATGTAGTTCTGATTTGTAGAATGTAGTTCTGGGATTTCTCGGATGTATATTTGATGGTGTCTGATGACTTTCTTTTATTTATTCGACTGGAAAGTATTTTCGCTCGATGTGAAATATATTTGTAATACAAAATATGCACGCACGTTGAAATGATAAAGTAATTAGCATGCTGTTGTTGTTAAACCCGTGTTCTAACTGACTTGCTTTTACACGTCGGGTGAAAAAAATGATAACCGTTCGCTCCAATAAATTACACAGTATATATAAAAAATATATATATATCAAAAATCAAACCCCCATGGTTGTGTAATGGCTAACTCCATCTGTCCATAGATTGTGCCATACACGAATAGCGGGAGAATGCTGTGATCAGGATTAGTGGGGTACTGGTCAGATGATTAAGATAGCTTTGTAACATGGCATGGTATTTACAAGCACATAAAGATTTGGGGGTTGTTCAATGGCACGCTGAATGGCGGCACGTGTACTTCAGCACCACGGACAGAGCCAGGATCATCCCCAGTAACCACAACACACTCACACACACTCTTAACTAATGCATCGGCTACACGGTGTGGTCTGATATTAAATGTTTAACCCAACCTTCTGGGTAGTAACCCAACCGCTGGGTCAAAACAACCCAATCGCTGGGTTTGTCCCTATTTAACCCAGCATTTTTTAGAGTGTAGTAAGTATAACAACTAAGTAAAGATAACTCATTCAATCTAAGTAAGGTAAACTATTGGATTTTACAGTGTAGGATTGTAACCCTTTAAATGCCAGTTGTTCACATAACGTAATGCCATTGTTTTGTTTTTGTAACAAGTGTTTGGTGTTTGAGCACTTTGGATTATTACAGCAGTCTTGGGTAGCTTGTCAATGATTAGTGAGCACGCAAACCAGATTCTGATATCCATGCCATCACACCCACACAATCATAATAACATAATTGCAATTCAATTTGCCTTTTTTGCCCAGCAGGAGCAAGATAATAATAATAAAAACAAGGCTTAATAATGTTTTAATGAAAAACATATTCTTAAAGGCTACTGTTTTTCGGAGGATGAATTGTTCACTCCGATTATTATTAAACACACATGTTATTCATTATTAAACACTTTGTTTTTTAGCATTGCTGTTTTATACGAGCAATAAACCATGAGGTTTTGCTGTACAGGGACTTTAACCCCATTACTCCGCTTCACGCACTGCTTACTAGTAGCTACTAAAACCCTCGTAGTTCACCGTTTCTCGTGGCTTATTGCTTTATACATATTTATAAATATTACATAAACACAGATAGCAAGAACGTTTGGGCCAAATGTGGCTGATAGCTCTCACATTTGGCCTAGGTATGGCATGGCTGAGCACATATGGGCCAAACTTTAACCGTATATGTTTTGCCATGGATTTAGAATTGGAGGGAATTTTCTTTTGGATGACCATTTTTTTGAGGTATATGGTCCAGATGATAGCACACAACTGAGAGCCATATGTGGCTTGGCTATGGCACACCATGGAATATGTTAACTTATGGTTAACATTTGGCTTTTATTCTCAGAGCAGCCAGATTCCTCACCCAGCGTCATCCAGATTCCTTATAATAAAAACTGGCTGCTCGTTCATGAACACAGACCTCTGACAAAATGTCTTATTTGCATTATGGTGACAGCCGTCAGAACCTTGTTTGAGGAGTTTTGCATTATACCAAATAAGCTGTTTTCGGTTGACAGTGACCAGAGTGGCAGCAGTTCTCCAGACTCACGGGCTTCAAACTGAGCGCACTCAGGAATGAATCGGTTCGTATACAGCATGACTTCCAGATAAGTGTTCATACTTGTTCCCATTTCTTTCAGGGCCTGCGTTCTGAAAAAGGAAGTGCTACTGAAATGTAGTTTTATATTCTCCATTTTCAAGGGAACAATATTTGACATTAAGACTGGCAGCTCTTTGTATTTTACACAAACTTGTGGAAGTGACTTATAAACATGCTCTGACCAACGGTTATGGAACAACTAGCAGTCATCCATTCACTTAAGACTGTTAAATAGTTTAAGATGTGTGTTCTGAGTTACGCTGTAATCAAATATTTCGCATTTGTAATAAACTCAGTTATAGCAATGTAAATAGTCACTATACCCTATTCATGTAGTACAAATTTTGCTTTAAGCCCAGCATTGACTCAAGCAGAAACAGTATTCAAAAAATAATCACCTTTACATAACCGGTAAGAGTTTAAAGAGACATTAAAAAGCAACAATGCAAATTCTGGTAGCAAGTCTTTATTTTACAGAGTTGATCCAACAAACAAAGGACCATGAACAGGATATGAAAGACCAATCCACACTTTCATATTAGGTTGAACTTGCGTCACTCATTTTACAACTTCCACTTGCTGGTCAGGAGCTGCTGAAGACCTAAAAAAAATAAAAAATGAATAGTTACCAGAAGTCATAATAGACACGGACAACTAATTGACGAGCACTGATCTCAGTCCCATATCCGCAAGTTTCATCCAGCAGTCACCAATAAAATCTAGTCATCCTTGATCAGGAATTACTTCATTACAAGCTGACAGCAACGCACCTGCAAGTCTGCCCGTTGATTCAGCACGCTGTCGGAGAACCTGGAGCAGTCTCAGGAACCGTGAAAACCCCACTACAGATGCTGAACCTGAAGAGGCAACACCACAACATTAAAGCCAAAGAGAAACCAACGGAACACCATAAATAGTTAAATTTGGCTCAGGAGCGTTTACATGGGTCTCATAATAGAGCTGCTCTCTCAGAGAGGGCAAGTGTGTCATCACAGCCAGTATCGAAACGAAACCTTAAACCGATACCAACCTCTTAGAGAAGAGGACATCTCGAGCAGTATTTTGATGATGGGACGTCTCATTTGGCATCATCCGACCTGCAGGGAAGAGAACCCGCCAACATTAGGCAGGGCTACTTCAAGCCAGGCATCCGTGAAGACACGTTTCGGTTGTCCTTTTCCTTAATGTTGCTGGGACAGCTACAGGTGAACCGTACAGCGACCGTCGGTAAAAGTGTTGCTTTCGGCTCCTGTTTGACCGGACCCGTTATAGAAGAACGGGAACGACTTCGATCAGGGCCACGACTTCAGTCTTACCATTATTAACTTCACATGCACAAATTTAATTGGTTTTAAATGGGCCAAACGTTCATTAGCTCCCATGAAAATGTGCAGTTTACTGTAACGTTACACAGTTAAAGTTGAAGCAATACCTCTGCACTAGTGAGGCGGCGGAGCCACGTGGTGACCCAGTATTCACTCCGGCAAGCACCTGGAGAGCAGGAAGAAACATGAGGAGATCAGGGAGACATCCACGGATTCACACCAGAAATAGCCTTACATCTGTAACCAGCAATGGCATATATAAAAAATAAAAATGAGGCACAACTGACTACATATTGTATCCAAGGCTAGACTTGGCATTTTGGTACATCTAGCCTATTTCCACATTATATACAAACTCAATCTAGACCCCTTGAACAACCAATGCAAAAAAAAAATTTACATGGACTAAAATAGCGTCGATTTTGGACACTACTCTGCAAACAATGTTGCACTCACAAACCCAAGAGTGCATTCAGAACCTTATAACTGTTTGCAAAAGTCATTTTTAATATTTAAAGACTGGAAGGCCGACCGCGGTTACACACTGCACCCGCTTACTTCTGACCTCCGTAAACACTCATCCTGCGCTGGACGCCCGAGAGTCACTAACGATCTAGTGCTGTAACACCCAAACAAACTTCTTATGAAACCTAGCTGTTAAAACACCGCATACGATCTTCGATGTTACAGGATTGTGTTGCACTCACCTCCATCCTCTGAGAAAGCGAGTCGGAAGAGGAAGAGGCGCGTGTGACGCGTGCTTTTATACAGCGAAACGTAACGCTGATTGGTCAACGGGCTCATCGCTGATTGGTTGAAGGAGACGGCTGGGTCGCAACGCTTGATGGGATATGTAGTTCTGATTTGTAGAATGTAGTTCTGGGATTTCTCGGATGTATATTTGATGGTGTCTGATGACTTTCTTTTATTTATTCGACTGGAAAGTATTTTCGCTCGATGTGAAATATATTTGTAATACAAAATATGCACGCACGTTGAAATGATAAAGTAATTAGCATGCTGTTGTTGTTAAACCCGTGTTCTAACTGACTTGCTTTTACACGTCGGGTGAAAAAAATGATAACCGTTCGCTCCAATAAATTACACAGTATATATAAAAAATATATATATATCAAAAATCAAACCCCCATGGTTGTGTAATGGCTAACTCCATCTGTCCATAGATTGTGCCATACACGAATAGCGGGAGAATGCTGTGATCAGGATTAGTGGGGTACTGGTCAGATGATTAAGATAGCTTTGTAACATGGCATGGTATTTACAAGCACATAAAGATTTGGGGGTTGTTCAATGGCACGCTGAATGGCGGCACGTGTACTTCAGCACCACGGACAGAGCCAGGATCATCCCCAGTAACCACAACACACTCACACACACTCTTAACTAATGCATCGGCTACACGGTGTGGTCTGATATTAAATGTTTAACCCAACCTTCTGGGTAGTAACCCAACCGCTGGGTCAAAACAACCCAATCGCTGGGTTTGTCCCTATTTAACCCAGCATTTTTTAGAGTGTAGTAAGTATAACAACTAAGTAAAGATAACTCATTCAATCTAAGTAAGGTAAACTATTGGATTTTACAGTGTAGGATTGTAACCCTTTAAATGCCAGTTGTTCACATAACGTAATGCCATTGTTTTGTTTTTGTAACAAGTGTTTGGTGTTTGAGCACTTTGGATTATTACAGCAGTCTTGGGTAGCTTGTCAATGATTAGTGAGCACGCAAACCAGATTCTGATATCCATGCCATCACAC